AGGCGGCAGCGGGGAGAGGGAGCAAGCTGGCCTGAGCTGGAGTGTGGGGCACTGTCAGGGCTGTGAGGTGGGGGCCTCTGATCCACCTACCCTGTCCCCACTTCCAGCCCAGGCTGGGCAAACCCCAGGCAGCAGCTCACTTCCCCTCCCTTCCTTCTGACAGCCCCAGGGACGGGCCTGGGCTGCATCAGACCATCCCTGATTGCGCAACAAATTAACCCTAGGGAATACAAGTTCCTTGAGGCATTCCAAAGTATAGCACCTGTATCTGATACCTCTTTGGGGGTTAATTTGCCACTTGAAAAGCACTCTGCAGCTGTGGTGCTTATTGTGCAACAAACACAATTTCTGTCTGCACCTTTCAAAAGTCAAAGACACTTTCCTATATCTGTCTAAGGGCCAGATATTTTTTTTTTTATTAGGTGTCTAAGTCGATTTAAATGCCTAAATGTGATCTTATTCCCACCCTTCTCAAGTCCTTGAAAAAATGTTAACACACTTACTTCTGGAACCTTAAGGCTGTCGCAAAATTACATGCAGGAAGAGGAAGTTCTTTCTACTTCTTGCATTAACCCTATAATTCAGTCCCTATTCTTCAGGGACTTGTGCAGGTTGGAGTGAGATCACACGTAGATCCCTGGCAGATTTTAATTCAAAGAGGCAATGGGATCTGATCCAAACAATCGTGTCAGGATGCATGACCTTGAGAATCAGAGATTAGATCCCAATCATGTCCTTTCAATTTGCCAGTTCAAGTGAAGCCTAGCATACTGAACCCAGGCTCCACCGACAGTGGCAAGCTGTAATCTGTGCAAGAGCCAGGCTGGGGGAGTCAGGCATGTGCCTTTGAACTTGCTGAGTGGCTCCCTCTTGCCTGATACTTGCACACCTGGATGTGGGGATGCCAGGCATGCAGGTTTGAACTTGCTGAGTGGGAAGTAGGATGAATGTAGTCATGGAGCTTTAAACTTGCTCAGTGGGAATACCTGATTGGCTCCCCACATCCTGTACTTGCAGACCCCCCAGTCTGGTTCAAGAGAGTGGGCGGCCTTTGTGTCTTTCTGCAGCTGATGTCAGATTGTTGTTCATTCATTCTTGCATGTAGAGCTTGCCCTATCTGTCTGACATAGGTGGTAGACGGACACTGTAAGCAGGTAATGGCATGCATGACCTTGATAGAGTTGCAGGTAAATGAACCTTAGATGTTGTACTCCTTGTTATTCAGTTCATTGTTGATGGTCTGAATTGATGTGGGGGCACAGCAGGCAAGACAGGCCTGGTGCCTTGGTGAGGATGAGAGTTAGTGTTGCTTAAGAGAGTTCATTTGAAGTTGGGGGGCCATCTGCCATAAATGCAATGTCTGCCCAGGGGCCTTAGGTACTAATCAGTGGAATAGGATCTGCCCGCCCATATATTTTAAGTTCCTAAATACCTTTGAAATCTGTCCCTAAGTACTTAATCCAGTGATCTTTGAAATAAATAGATTATTGGTATTACATTAGCTCTAAATACTTCAACAGATAGAAAAGCTGGTTGTAAAACATCTATTTAATTTCCTTTGGTTGTGTTGCATTGTTTTTTTACAACTTGCAGCTACATTCAAAATTTCCTTTCCTGTGAGACTGTTTGGTTCAAGGCTTTACTTTCCAGATGTTCTTCCAACTTCTCTGACCTCTTTGTTGCTTGCCCTGCACTTCCTTCCCAGCAATTCTTTCCTTCCCACCCTAGAGCTCAACCATGCTTTATCCCACCTTATTTCATCTCCAGTTCCTAGGCAGTGTAAGATTTCATTTAACCTTTTTGTTCCTACCTAAGTGCAAAGCTCTGGGCTTCAGTTATGGGTTTGTGGCTATTTTTATGTTTTTTAAAGCAAAAACAATTACAGGGCAGATCCACAAAAGGGCTTATATATGGCAATGCTCAGCCTTGCCTTCAGGAAGAGAATTTACAATCCTGAATTGGGCACTAATATTCCATACTCAAGCAATGTGGGGAGTTAGGCACCTAGGAATTCGATTTATAGAAGGAGACACCTAGCCCAGCCATAGAAAACGTTGAAGAGAGGGTATCTTAAATTCTTAAAAACATCTTAAATTCTGCCTTTTTAGGTACCTGTAGGCAGGTACCTAAAAAAAGATTTAGGTACCTGCCTACAGCTCTGACATATACCTGTATGAGATAGGGATTGATACTGAAACTGCTTCCTGGATTTAGGTGTCTAAGCTGTCCATTTGGGCACAAGGGCTGCCTCTTTTTGTCTTTTAGAATATGGCTGGACAAGGAGGAGAAAATGGTGGTGACCATCTTTTATATAAGTGCCAAGTTGTTAGTGGACTTGTACTAGGTTCTAGGACCTCCTCTGTCTAATTGGGTTCATCCCCATGCCATCCATCACCCAGAACAGTGTCTTCCCCATGACAGTGTAGATCAGATAGGAGAGGAGGGGCACTTTTCATCCCTTCTGCTGAAGCTGGACCACTGTGGAGAAAAGAATGCAATATGTGGGACCAGAAAGAGAGCATGAATGTAGCACAGTAATTCGGACACTCTCCTAGGAGGGAGGAGTCTTGCGCTCTGGAACGAGCTCCAAGGCTTATGTATTTTTCATTAGAAAGTCATTGACTGAAATACATAAAGAGTAATAGGAGCAGGCTCTGGAATCCAGGCCCCCACCTTTTATCCTCCCATCTCCACCTGCCATCATTGGGCCTCAAGAGTCATAATCCTAGTCTCTTCCTCTGGCCTATGAATCTTGCATTCATTTCTACAGTGGCCTAGCTTCAGTGGGAGGGGTGGAGATCACCCTCAACCTTGCAGATAGCTTGGAAGGTAAGATACCCACCTTGGAAGTGGGAGATGTGGGCTTGAAACCCCTGAGGCTGAAGAGGACCTAGGTCTTCCACTCCCTGAGCACGTGTGGTAGGCACTGTTGCTGGCCATGTCTTAAAATGGAAGGGACCATGGTTGCTGGCTTTTTTGCTGGACTCATTGTACTCAGAGCATGGCAGGTGTGCTCAGAGCACTCCTGATGTTTTCAGGGCCCTAAGGGAGATATGTACCAAGGTGCTCAGTTCAGACCAGATGACAGCACTTCTACAGCAGAAGTTTAGACACTCACTTAACTTGACTGGTGAAAACCTAGGCCTCTGAGCAGTAAGAGTGTTTGTAGATTGATCACTTGGATCTAGGTACTTAAATTCCACTTGAAATTCCCTTTAGAAGCCTAAGTCCTTTCTTTTTGGATATAACCCTACATATCCTTTGAGAACAAGGAAAAATCCATATTTTGATTTAATATTTTAAATTATAATTTGTTTTCTTCTAGTAAATGCATTCTATTAAAGGATATCAAATGTAGTAGTAGAAATAATCATAATAACAATAATAATAATACTGGTATAAGTAAATATTATACATATCCATAGATACAACATTAGTAAATATGTGATTCACATTTGGACTAACTCCAGTGACACTGAATCCTATTCTCTTAATAGGATACAAGTAATACCCTGAGATTTATGTAGTTACTACTTGTACCCTCTGGTGGAATCAGACCTTTTGACTTCAGTAGAGTTGCTTCAGATTTACTTTGCTGGAACTGAAAGAAGAATCAGTCCATATTGTCTTTTGTGTACAGCCTTAGATGATCCCATCCCTGTAAAAAAAAAATGGCAAAATAACCTAAGGAATTAAGAATTAAACTGTTTCTATTGTTGGCTACAAATGTCCAACTCAGGATCCTTAAAATTCTAGTTTATTAGGCAGATTGAAACACTGTAATCATAAACCTTGGGGCTGGTCCCCACATGCACACATGCACACACATACACACACACAGTAGCAGGCTACAGAGTCAGGTATACCTATCCTACAAGCGCTGGAGTCTGTCGTTGAGGCTTCTTTCAATGTGGTGTTATCTTCCAGAAGGGGGTCGCCGGCTGGTCCTTCTGGCTGGACAGGTCTGGTCGAGTTGGAGATCAAGAGGGCGCCACTGAGGGTCACTTTTCACTGCCTTTTATCTGTCCCTGGCAGACTTTGGTGACTCCCCAGTTTTCAGGTTTGCCCAATCCAGGGGTCATTGACCCTCGTGGGACTTCCCCCCCCTCGGTGGCTACTGGATGTCATCTGTCAGCCCCAGGGGTCGTCCGCATGTACGTGCAGGTTTGGGAGTCCGTTGATGAATTTAGAATAGGGCTCTGGGAGCGGTTGATCTGGAGATATTCAGCCCAAAAGTTGGTCTCTGGCGTTGATTAACTCAGGCCAGGGCTTCTAGCCTTTGACCAGTGAGGTTTAGAGATTTCCCTGTTGTTACATTGTCTTCTATTGAGTTCTTCCCTTGGTTGATCTGCAGTTTCCCAGGTGTTAATTGCTGTGTGCTACCTTGTTACACATTCAATCACTGATTCACTCCCTCTTTCAGGGGCCAGCCTGATACAGAGCACAAATAGATAAAAATACCAAACTACAAGGGGAGACACAAAATGCACACATACAAATTTTAAAACACAATTCCTTATCTTAAAGTGAAAGAAAGAGGAAGGAAGAAAGGTAGAAAAAGAGAAACATATCCAAAGAGGGGAGAGCAAATGCAGGCAAGAGGAAAAGGGGGCTTTCTGCTACACTATGTAGTTTTTATTACTATCTTAGGAAGTTTTCTTTTTCATGACAGAGAAGCATTTACTGAAAATGAGGTGGAATTTTAAATCGGAACTCATTGTCTGACTTCAAAGTACTGAAATAAGGACAATCTGTTTTTTTAATATGGAATTAAGAATAACCGGAATGAAGGGAGGTGGTTAGCTGTGTTAGAAATCAGGCAGAGGGAATGTCTACACATGCAGTAAATACGCAGCAGTAAACTCCGGCATATTGCACCAGAGTTTATTGCTCCTGGATGCATTGTTTGTGTGTGTGCCCAGGACCACAGCATGTTGAGCCAGGTCAGAGCAGCCCCAGCTGGTAGGTGGCCTGGGTTGTCAGCCTGCCAGACTGGGGCTGGCTGGGGCATGAGGGTACTCCAGTGCAGAGCTAGCCGGTAGGCAGCCCTCATATGGAAGCACCCTTTTGCCCCAGCCAGCCCTGTCAGCATCTATATGTGCGCTGCTGTGTAGTAAAATACTCCACAGCAGGATAATGCTTGTATTTACAAGTACTATCCTGATGTGGAGTTTATTAGTAATCTGTTGCCTAATAGGTCTGCACGTGTAGACATTTGCTACATTAGCAAGACATTTGCTGAAGAGCTAATATAAGACAACTCTGCGGTAAACATCTTGTGTAGATGTGCCCAGAAGGTAGCATCTGCCAAAGTAGGTTGTCGTCTATGAAAACTCATAACTCTGCACCAGTTAGTCTTTAAGGTGCCAACCTGCCCTGCCTTCTGTCTGGGATGAAAAGTAGCAACAGCTGAGCACAAGGGTGGGGTGGAAAGAGCTGCTGGAGAGGAAGTGCAAGGCAAGCAACAAAGAGTTCTTGCTGTGAGTTTTTGCACTTCTGTCATGATTTATATTTTCCATAGGCACTTCCATGTTTAAAAATAAAGAGGGATGCTTAGTTACACTTGTGTGTTATACAATAATATTGGGCCATCATGTCCCAATATAAAGATTTGCTGCTTTTAAGTTACTGATTATTTTATCCTTTAAATTGCAAGTTAGCATCCATTATAAGCCTGATTTTTTTTTTTTGCTTACCTCTTCTAAAAATTCACATAAAAGACTGTAAACAGCTCAAAATTGGTAGGTTAGATCTAAAGCTACAGTAGAAATTTCTACAAAATTAGAATAAATGGGATAAAAGATTCCTGAATGATGATACCACCAATACAGAGCTCTTCAAGTCAAAAGACTTATAATGCTTATTTGCCACTTTGCAGCAATGATTTTTAACAATTGGGATCCTTGTGTTCAGTGATAAAGTGATACTGGTAATATCTTCTGATTTTTCTCAGGCTATTGTGGGCAGACTGAAGGGTGTCTTATTGTGAAATGCAACATTAACTCTGCATTTCCAAGATTTCTAATTCTTTAAAACTCCTACATTTCCTAAGAATTACACTTCAAAACTGAAATGTGCTGGCAAAATTAACTTTGCCCTATAGGGTTTTTGTGTTAATAATCACATATAGATGGTAAACACCACTCAGTAATAAAAGCAGGAAAAAATACAGAGGTTTCACATCATTTATCGCCATATTATTGTTATGGATAATAATAACAATACAACATACAATGGATACTAATTCTCTTACAGATGAAAAATGACTGCAGAGTCTAATTGCAGATGTTTCCTTTTCCTTCATTGCCGTTAGACTCATGCTTCAGGGGTGGACTACCTAACTCCTTATTGTAACATGTAAACAGTATCTTTAAGCAGAAAGAAACTCCTTACCTTCCAATGATTATATATTATGCTCAAAAACTGTTTAAAGATTAAAGTTGAAGATGCAAGCATTCAAAATTTAGGAGATGCCAGAATTGATGTTGTTCATGCAACCTTAATTGAGTGCCCTACACATGCCTGTGAATCATGACTTAATCTTTAGTTATATATTCATGTATTATTTTTTCCACAGGATGATTGTCTCATTTAGAGCACAGGATGAAAATGCTGAGCAGAATGAGGGTTATTCATCATTTGATATAGAAGTTGTAAAGTAGGTAGTGAATGAGGCAGGGTTTTATAGGATGAAAAAGGATGGTTTTATGGTTAGGGCAGATAAATATAGAATGATGGATTGATTGGGACTAAAGAATCCCTGCCTCTGCCTCAGGCTGCCTGTGCAATACTGGGCAAGGTATTTAAACTAAGCCTTTCATAGGTGATCTGTAATTGTGTTTTCTCTGTCTTCTGGGTGCCAACTTGAGACCTTTTCTCTGAGTTGCGACCCTTTTTCTGAGTTGCAGAAATCCTGCGCCTTCACAGCTGCAACTGACCTCAATTGGGGGTTTGCTTTGAGCATACAGTGCTACATATAATTGCTAAGTAGTCAGAGAATTCAGGCCATAGGTGTCTCAAATCAGACACCCTAAATTAGTGGATACTTTTGTCCTTAATCTCTCTGTCCCCTAGTTTGCCATCAGCGTCATGGTGATTAATACTAACTAATCTTACAGGGATGCTCTGAAAATAAATAAATTCATTAATATTTGTGAAGCACTTAGATATTGGAGTGATAAGCAAATCTCTGCAGTAGCATAGAAAAGCATGTGAGGAAGTTAATCATTCCTAGTTCAGAGCAAGGTTTGGAGAATGTTCATTAAAGAAGCCTGGAATCACACATTGAACAACATGGATAAAACAAAGTATTGTATAGTAACTTGTTAAGTCAGCACCATCTATCTTCTACACTGAATAAAGCAGAGGTCTTGTGGAAGAAGTAGGCTGTGATGAACAAAGGAGCCACAGCAGCAGCAGCCAAGGCTCAGGTGCTGCTGGGGTGGGGGGCAGGGGAGAGAGGGCCCTGGTCCTGTAGCTTTGGCAGCTGGGGACCCCTCTGGCAGGGCTGGGGGGGCTGTGGCCTATGAGAGGGGCACTGGCAGGGTCAGAGTACTATGGGTCGGGAGTGAGGGGCACAAGCAGGGCTCGGGGGGCTGTGGTTTAGGAGTGAGGGGTAACAGCATTGGCAGGGGCAGGGCACTGGCATATCCGGGCTGCTCAATGTCACAAAGCAGTTGGGGGGGGGGGGGGGGGGGGCGGAAATGGGCCCAGGTGGGAAACTCTGATTTTCTATGATAAAAAAACGAAAATAACTGTACATTTTGGTGTTTATTTAGAATTTATTATGATGGAGGCACTGGTAGCCTTCTAACTTGCTTTAAAATTGTAAATATATTAATAAAACATTGTTTTCAACTGATACCTATATACCCATAGTGGCATTTCATTTTAATTGTGGAAAAACGTGGATTTTGTGGGTTTTCATTAGAAAACTTGGGATTTTTAAACAGTGAAAACCAGGATCCCTGGTTATAACTCGTCAGGCAGAGAGAGGAATTGAACTGAGGACTCCCACATCAGCAACTGCTCTAACCATTGGGCTACCGAACAAACAAGTAGCATCACCTTCTCTTAGTGCTGCACTTGCCTCGTTTACTGGCACAAGGATTTTGCACCCATATTTAAGGGAGTAAAATTAAACTGGAACAGGTGCAGACAAGGACAGCGAAGATAATCAGGGCACTGACCACGTAAGGGGAGGCTAAAAGAAGTGGGCTTGTTTAGTCTAACAAGACAAAAGTTGAGAGGGAATGATTGCTGGCTAGAAATATATCAGTGAAGGAAAATGACTGTTTAAGCTAAGAACAATGTTGGCTCAAGAACAAATAGCCAGAAATAAATTTAGAGTAGAGAGTTTCTGTAACAGGCTTCCACTAGGAGCTGTGGGAGTGAAGAAAATCAATGCTTAATATTTAATATGAAGTGTGATCCCTTTATAAGTAGCATTATAAAATTTGGATGCCTGCGAAGATAGTACAGGTCTGGACTTCAAGACATGGGCTGTCTTCTGCCCTTATGTTCCTGTAACATTTAAAAAAATCATAACTTGACCAAACGGGATCAGATTTTCATGAGGATGGCATGAGGCACCCTCCTACAACCAAAGCATGGAACAACCAGAGCCTTGTAAAAAAATAATAAAAAAAAAAAAAAAAT